CTGCCCTGATGGTGCCCTGATGATATTCTCTAGCTGGGTAATGAAACGTCTGAGCCAGCCACCAAGCTCAGAGAGCACCAAGGACTCACAGTTCAACCCTGAGCTCCAGATCTTCTCTTCTATTGGGGAAAAAAAAGTTGTTCACCCCAACTTTAAGATGACTTTGCCTCCTTTTTGCTTATTTGCTCTATTTTGCTCTAAATCAGGGTTTCTCAAACTTGGCAACTTTAAGATGGGTGGACTTCAACTCTGGGGAATTCTGGGCATTGAAGCCCAGCCATCTTAAAGTGGCCAAGGTTGAAAAACACTACTTTAAGTGCTCTGTTCCTGCTCTCCCTTTCAAGTCCCCACCCCGCTACTTTCCCCCGGCTGCTCCTGCCTCCTGAAGTTGCTCGTGCTTGTTTTTGTCCTCCAGCTACAGGACAGTGATCAGGCCGACCTACAAGCAGGCGTTCAAGACGGTCACCGCTCTGGAGTGGAAATGCTGCCCTGGGCATTCAGGGCCAAACTGCGAAGCAGGTACAGGCCAGGGAGCAGGATCCAGGACTGTGCGTGAGCATTACAAAGCGTGCACATCTTGTGGGGTGGGAGAGAAAGAGCATAGAGGTGAGTTTCTGGCACACAACTGGATTGGGGGTGGGGGGGATTGCCAGGGGAGAAGGGGCTTTCTGAGAACAGAATGTGCAGACTGTGGTTTCTGCTTGTTTATTCTTTGTCTTACCCGACGGCATCGTGTTCTGTTATCCTTTCTATGGTTTATGATGCCTTGTGGAGGTCCTTAAGCAAAAAAATAGCTCCCGGCTCAAGATGTTTCACAGGAAGGAGGAAAACGGGAAGGATGGGTGAGGTGGGTCTGTCTGCTGCCCTCCAGGAACCAACGTGGTAGCAATCTCATGTCCCAAGTGGTGCAAGAACACCTAAGTTTTCATGTCCTAGAAAAAAAACAAGCCTGTTTCTGACTTTTCGTAACGGTGTGTACAACCTCAGAAGATGCTTAGAGCGTATGGTTAGAAATATTAGTCCCCGTGCTATAGCTCTGAGGTCTGGCCACTGTTTGCAGAAGTAAATAGAGCATGTCTCCGCATTGAAGGATGAAGACAGATGTAATGTAAGAATAAAAAGCAGAGAGCGTGTCTTTAATATGTTTGTCCTCACTATGAAACATCTGTTGCTGTGGTATGACAGGAATGGAAGACAGTCCTCTGGCCGAGGCTGTCCTCTCAGCAATGGCTCCATGACCAGCTGTTCCATGACCCTTGTTGCCAGATTGCAAGGAGCAATATTTTTTATGGCCAAGGAAGTTCAATAGCCGTTTTGTTTAGGCTGAATGAATGGAGAAATCATTCTTGGCCTTAATGCCAGGAAGGATGTGAGAATGGATGTACTAATTCCGCCCATTGAACACTCAACATTGCCCAGAATGGGACCTGTGAAAGTTTCTTGGGACTATAGAAAGATCAGAGGAAAAAACTGGAAGAGAAACAGAGTTTTGGTGCCCCGTTTAAATGTCCTGCTTTAAGATCAAGGTCATCTCTAATCCAGGATCTGAGGTCTGAAAAGGATTGTTGGTTCTCCTCGAGGTGGGCCTCAGAAGAGGGCGCTTGGTCATGTTAAACCGCTTTCTTCAAAAGTTCAGTCTCCAACTGATCGTTCCCACTTCCCCAGAGGGTTGTTGTGGATTCCATTCTGAAATGGCAATCGATAAGGGGTTGAGATGAGCGAGTTTGGCCCAAAGTTTTCTAACAGTGTGATCCTTCAGAGCTGCTCTTCCCACTCTCTGCCTAGCAGAAATGGACTTGTTCATCGCAGAAATGAGGCGCTTCTGTGTTTCGTTCAGATCCCATTTCAGAATCAAGCGATGGAGTCCTGGAATGCAGTTCAGGGTGGGATACTAGTCTTGAAATTTGCACTTCTTGGATTAAAAAAAATGCAAACCTCAATTGAAAGCTTCTGCAGGTTAGCTGTGTATAATGTAGATTATAGGATGAAATGAGATGCCCTTGGCGAGAAAATGTTGTGACAGATAGGTTCACAAATATATATTTAAAACAGGCATTTTCCTGTGGCTTTTTGGTTCAAAAAGTAGATTAATACAGGACAGACACACGCAAAGCCAAAAAGGGCAGCAAATCAATTGATCTCCATGCATGCATTTGATTATGTATTTTACATAGGCTGTGGAATTCATCCTTTGTTTGACTCTAGAACCAGGATCACTTTAGCATGAAATTTATTTTTGTGTGTGTTTGTGTGTGTGCAAGGAGGAGAAAGAGAGGGGGGATCACATTGTAGTAAGCCATAGCGTGGATTAGTGTCTGAAAATTGTGTGCAAACCCACCCATTGTGATTTGCAAACCATAGTTCACAGCTTAGCATGTTGTGTGAGCCTACCAATTGTAGTGTAAGCCATGTGCCACAGTTAAACCATGGCTTACTGCAGTGAACGGTTCCATGCTGTGTCGGGTCTCACACAACCTGCTAAACCAGGTTTCTCCAAACTCCAGTGGGCATTCCAGCTAAAAATTCTGGAAATTGAGGGCCATCACACCAGACTGAAGAAGATTGGTATGAAACCACCATAGGCCATAAACGTAATCACACAATCGTGGCTTATTCAATAAACCATAGTTAAGCCTTGGCTCAGTGCACTGTCTGAACCCCTGAATTGCTTTCTAAGGCCATGCAGCTAAAAAATCCTTTTGGTTCCAACTCAGTAATGCTTGGCTTAGCTCCAACTCACACAAAGTGGCAGCCAGGCAGAAAATCTGATCCAGAAGATCGAATGGACACCTGGTGTGGAATCCCATTCTGGGGAAATCTCACCCCATAGGTGGATATTCCCAGACTGGACTTGGCAGTTGGCAGAAGAAGGGAGGCCAACCCAGGGAAGCAGGAGAGAGAAAAGCAGAGGGCTTGCTTCTGTCTGGGTTAAGGGCCCGGCTCCTTTGGAGGATCTGCAGCGCTCTTGGCACATCTGAGAATTGGGGGCAATTAAGGACTTCATAAGGGGGACGCGGTGGCGCAGCGGCTTAATGACGCTGAAAGTTGCTGGCCAGAAATGG